AAAAAATTTTTCATTCAGAAAAAAATTAAGTCAGCACAGGCAAAGTTAGAGGGGATCTAATGCTAGTGATGTTATTCAAACGTCTTCCACATGCCGGACGCAAATTATGCGAGGCCGTACGGACCGGAGCTTTACTCTTCCACAGCCTGCTTGGTGCCTGTGCTCCGTCAATTCGGGGGCCGCCCGAATGATCTTAATGTGTGGCCGCAAAAGTGCTATTCTGGGTGACCCCGGGTGGTGCTTTCATCAAGTGCAGTTTGCAAGGGAAAAGTTAATTATTATTCACTAGCAAATTGAACAAACTTTTAATGGCATTGCAGTGGCGTTCAATGGCGGCCGGTGTCAAATGCAGAAAATTGGGTATCTTCACCAACTCCAAATTGCCTTCCTGAAACCAAACACGGTCCTGTCAAAATGAATTTTCGATGTGCGGCTTGAAAGGGCGCAGTAGCAGATGGAAAGGGATTACGGTTTTAAAAGGAGCCATCTTCTTCGGATCCCTTCTTGCGCCCATCCTCACTGGAAGCGGCACAACCGAGGAGCGAAATGAACGCGCCGCAGGCCAGACACTTGGCCAGTCCTGCTCTGTGCTCATTTCTTCCTTGCGCGGCCGACGAACCTAAAAAAAAAGCACTTATTTCGCTAGCAACTCTGAGAAATCACCAAAATTGCTGTATGAGAGGGTAGCCATGCCAAATCGTTGCCCTCCGCTTCCCGCCACTAGTCGTTCCAGTTCGCATCAATTACTAATGCGCATGATTTACCCCTGGGTGCAGGAACATATAGAAACTGATTACTAGTCCAAAAATGAAAACTTAGACCTCTAGTTGTTTCCCACATTGGTCCAACAGCGTCACAAGCGATAGACGAATTACAGTTTTCCATTAAACCTCGCCCCTCGCCGCAGGGAGGCCAATCGTTGTCGCGCGTGGAATTGAACAGGGCGCGGAAGAAATGCATAAATCCCACAATCCCTCAAAATAGAATGGCTTCCTCTAAGCAACGCGAGCAAAACAAAAACAGAGGGCCGTGAAATGTAAGTGGGAACTGCAAGCAACAAACGGATAACGACGCATCCAGCACTTACCAATATTCGTTGGAAAATGTCGCCACGCGGTGGATCTTCGACAACTGCACGGCCCGTCTCTCGTTCAATACCCAACTGTGTACGCAGCTTTCGCTTCGGGCCCAAAAATACGGGACGAAATGGTTCACCCTGCAAATAATACACCGGCATCATTTTGCTCCAAGCGAAGCTCCCCCCTCGACAACGAAGCTGCTCCCCTCTCGTCAATGAATGAACCGAAAGTCTGTGCCCTCAGGGGATGATACTTGCACAGTGGGAACCCATCCATCGTCCGTCCCGTGGAGGCTGCCCAGCAAAGAAGACAAATGGAATGTGAGGCACGTTGAAGCAAAGCCGATTTCATGTGACACAAAATGAGGCTCCACGTCAACAGCTCACCACCACCACATTCTACAGGTCACGGTCGCCAAGAGCTGAGCGCCGGGTGTGCCCTGAAAGCGAACCCGCGCGTGCAGCACACTGACACGCATTTCTGGCTCAGTGCTTGCAGAAGTGAAGAGTTCGGCAAGGGGACCTTGCTGTCTCGCTGCTCCTCGAGCATCCGCTTTTGCTCGTCCTCGTTCTTCTTCAGGTCAATCCCGTCCACCGCCTGCCGCATCGTCTCGGCCAGCGTCCACTGCAGCCGCTGCAGCGGCTTACCAATGCCAGATCGCACTGACAGCAGTGCCATTAGCCTGAAAGCAGCATGAATATACAAAGCACAATCACTGCACTACACCCCCCAGTAAACCGGCCCCCATTTGTCCCCTTCCCTGAACGGACGACAAAGCTCCTTGGACTGCTTGAAGAAGTGCCTGCCCAACACATACACACACACACACACACCCACCCAGCACCCTCAACGGGAAAATACTACTTCACACAGCGGCGGAAAGAAAAACGGTGCTTCGCCATGCTGACAACTCTTCCGACTGCGGCGCTCAGTGCTGCATCGCACAGCGGTCAGTCTGCTGGCGATCCCGACATTCGTTACATCTTCAGCACAGATTACAGTCAAGCACTTCTCCTGGCAACACTGGGGGATCTAGTGGAAGCGGAAGGGGTCTTTCGCTCAGGCAGCAGTTGTTTTACTGTAGAAAAGTATGCCCAATACTGCCTGTCGCCCTCCTCCCCCCGGTCGTCGCCCATAGTTTAAAGTCGATGAGCGGGGGAAGGAGAGCACGACGATTGAGGAGTGACTAACGAGCTGAAGCCAGAGAGG